CACTTTCATGACCATAATACCCTGATCCTAAATGGCTAGGATGGTTTTTGTAATATCCTCTGCAGTCTGTCAGTGATGAACCCTCTGACTCATGGCTTCAGGCACTCAATTTCATTTGAGAGTCGATCTCGCTCACTCAAAGCAAAAAAAAGTCCCCCACCTGTTGTAGTGTGCAACTATGCAATGTGTTCTCTCTGTTCAGCTTTGGAGCGCTATTACCTGCCTTGAATAGATTCCAGATTGCTCCTTTAGCTGGCAGAGGTGCCTATTGCTTCTTGGAATCTATTTAAGAGAGGGATTTATGTACTCCGCAAGCAAGATCACAATTGAAGGAGGGGGGAGAAACAAAAAAAGTGGAGAGACTGGACGCAGGGAACAGCCAGAAAAGAGTAACATATATTGAAGTGAGACATATGGGTGGAAAATGTGGGCCTCTAACAGGCTGCTCCCCTGCACTTAAATCACAGCATTGTTCTGTGTTGTGTGGTTACGAGAGACACAGGAAGTAGCAGCATTATGTTTCCACTGATGCACTTATACACATCACACCGGAGGCAAAGCGTAAAGGCTCTTTCTTCTTTTCTAAAGAAAGGATGGCAACACATTTCCACACTTCTTTGTCGCTAATGATATATTCACGCAATATTTGTAAAATAGTAGTGGAGGCCTGACCTGAAATAATTCAATTTTACTTCCATGCATCAGAAGATCCTAAGGAAGAACCCATAAATTATTTTTACTGATGCACACCGGATTTACATGCTATCTGTAACCAAATTACTGTTGCTGTGACAAACAAGTTAAAGAATATTTCAGGGGCATCAATTTCTTGGAATTACTAATATTTTCCTAATTATTAAAAATCTTGTGAGTAAAAGGTTTAGCAATAATGCCTGGGTAATTTCAGCTGGTGGGGAAGTTGAACCACATCTTGTTTGCATAGACATAATTCACTCAGAGATGGTGGGGGACTGTAATTAATACTGCTAGTGGCTTTTGTGTCTAAAGAATAATAAAGAAGTTAATTTTTATTATTATTTTACTGTTATTCTACTTTTACAAACCAAAGCCCATCATGGTAGAGTTGTAACTAATTGTTGATCCACATTTACGCCACACCAAGCAAGAGCCACTAAATGTGTTGCAGATGTGACGTGACGCAAAGGCTGCTGATTAACATTTCAGATTACTAAGCAAAGCAATCTTGTCTTCAAAAAGTACATTTTGTGCACTGTCTTTCTGCATCCTTAATCAACAACTGCTCCCACAGGCATGCTGTTAAATGAGAGACACCAAGGGAAGGGCAAAACGTTTCATCTCATTACAATAAAGTTTTAGAGATCGAAAAGGACTTAAGTATTTTTTTATGGCCAATTGTCATCAAGCAAAAACAATTCCAATGTGCACCCAAAGCACTAAGATAATGCTGAGCAATGGCCACAGGTTTCCAGTTATTCAGGGGATTCAGGTGGCATCTTCATCAAAATGTCCTCTCCCACAAAAGAGCGAGCCACCTTAGAATGTAATCCGGTACAGCAAAAATGCAAGCTAAGGTCTCAAATATCAGTTGAGACAAATCCATTGTTACTCGGTGTTAAAGAAATGAACATGTTTACAAACATACTGCAGAACTTTGTTGTTTGATTACATTGTACAGAGGTTTCAGTGTTTCTGGTCACTGAGTTTAAATTAAGCTTCCTGTTTGCCCAGGTGACATTATGTATGTAAGAGAGTTCAGACTGTTTTAAGCATATTAAAGATGAATGCTCAGACCATTTACTTTCACCTAACACTTCACATACCCACACAAAGCATCACTAAAATTTCATAGCCTGTAATGGAACTGCATGTCAGTATAATTCTAGTGCCCCATCTGTGTTGCCCCTCCCCCCTTAAAATCCAAGTGATTGATTACTGGCTTTGTTCAACTTATCGTCTCTCTTTGTCTGCTCAAATTCACTTACGTTAAACTCCTTTTTACCATTTACAGTAAATATAATCTGATAATATCCAGTGGTGCACAACAACCTGTATTATATGTACATATCAAAATTGGCGTCATCACTGAGGTGTAAAGATGCTTCAAAGTGCCCTCTTGCCCTGCTCTCCTCTATCTTTTAACCTGGGTGTATTTTTGTAGCCTTCACATAAGTGTCTCTCTGCACTTATCAGATGAAGTTCTAATAAAGGCCTTGTATTTTCACAAAAATAAATCCACAAGGATGCTGACTTCATCTACGCTGGGCTATAATTTATTAAGCATTATGGCTGGTAATGAATTTCTGAGTGACGATTTAAATGTGTGGGAAAATACATTACCCAAACAAGAACGGGTCCTGAAACAGAACAGAGACACTGCCAAAATTTAAAACCCTTTGTAGGTTTCTGCTTTTGTTCCAGATAGATGTGAAAATTGTTTGATTACACAAAGCGTTTAAAAGTAACTACAAATATGATACTTTTCAATCTTAATCTTAATTTGAGAAATTGAATATAACATAACTTTCAGCATTGTTTAGCTTTGTTGTAACAGATCATAATGTTAAGGGTTTAATACTTTATTTAGGATTTCTTTATATTACCCCTCCTACTACTTCTAGCCAAACAAAATGTTTTAGTGTATAAAAGCCTTCAAATGTCATTCTTGTGTGGAGCTAAGCTAATCTAATAAATATTAAGATAAGATATATAAAAATTAAGATAAATATTAATATTCATTCATATGAATGAGAGACTAAGCACAACCCCCCCCCCCCAAGAGGGCTTAGCTCTGATAAAGTCATATAAACACTCGAGACAGCACATTACCTGTGATAAGTACTGGGACATGAGGGTCACATATAGCAAACTAAACTAGCTTGCAGTTCCCCCAATGTGTGTTTACTTAACACTCCAGGAGATCCAGGAGAAGTTTTATTAGGTCTGCTGAAAAGATGTGTGTGTGTGTGTGTGTGTGTAAGAATGCACAATCCCTGAGATATGAACTGAAAGGCTCACGCTGTCCTTATGGGTTTAAGTCAACAGAAACAAAACAGTTGCAGCCACCTCACGGTGTGGGTTAGAGCCATGCTAGAGTGCTGAGGGGAGGAAGGATTGGTTTCTTGGACGATGTGTGCCTGTGGCGCATTCCAGCCCAGCTTTGTGAATGCATCAACATAAATTGAGGCAAGGAATAAAAGCTGTGTCACTGTGCTGAGGCGGCATTGTGTTACTGCCTGTTTAAAATATGTTACAGCAAAAGGGTTGACAGGTTGTTGCCTTTGATCTACGTAGCTTCTCTGCTCTGTGCCTCAGTCAAAATGGGCTGAAATGGTGCCACATACAGTGTACTGTTTTGATTCTCATCTGACGTAAACATGCACTTACAGTTTATAGGTGGATAAGTGCATGCTCATCAACTAAACATGCATGCAATATCTGTTTTCATACTGTATGTGCAGAGGCAGGTAGAACCATCAAATGAGCCTCACTCAAAATATGTGCTAACATGCGACAATATACCTGTGCAACATGCAATCCACTGCATTAAAAAGTCATGAGAAAATTCTGCCAACATTTGGTTCTTCTCATGCATGCACTGCAGTGGCTTGAGGAGACTTCAGGTATCTTCAATTATGCAGCACAGGGCAGTGCATGTCAGTATCAAAGACTCTATACTCTCTACTATATTTCAGGAATAAACCTGCTGTTCATGTCACATTCAATCCTCAAACTCTGTTACTGTATCCGAACAGAAGCATGGCTAATCTTCTAAGCAAAGATCTTATGTAAATTACATTAATGTGAATTTTTATTTCACCTTTAGTCCTCAGTAAAGAGTTTCTTCCACAGCTGACACACAAACGTTTAAATTTTTTTTCTCCGCTTCGAAGGGAAAATGTAACACACTCTGTTCCACAAATGTGGAATCCAGTGACTTTTCCAGTGAATTGAGGTTTCAGTCTACGAGATGTGCAATCACTTATTTGGTAGTAGAATCCGATTGCTACTCCACTCCAAACCACAGGAATGCTGTATTTGTTTAAAAAAGATGCAAAACTCAATACTGAAAAACAGTTTAAAATGCTGAGGAGTTTCGGTTGCACATTTTGAGTTCAACATGGAGTCTTCTTAGGAAACTGTTGGTGGGAAATGTATACAATGAAGAAGAGTCTTACACAACTTCCAGCCTGCTGTGATGTATGAGGTAGAAATTAGGTTTTAAGATTAAATTTAAAAGCAGAGTGTTAGCCACCTTGATCCTAAATGGAGGTGAGGAGCAAGTAGGCTACAGCATAAGGTCAATAAAGGGTGAGACGTTTGATTTAATAATGCAATGCTAGACCATGCAAGCCTTATGTCTGAATTTGACTCATCACTGTTAGAAAAAAGACAAAAAAGGCCTTTGCCAGAATATGATAGAATAGAATAGAATTGTGGGATTTGCATTTAGTGTATGAAGATAGTGAATAAAGCAAATTTGTGATTTTTTCAGCTATATAAAAAATTGACCTGACTTGAATAGAATAGGAGACAAGTAGACAACTGAATAGACAACATTTGACTTTGACATTTGGTGTGATACGCAAAGCTATGAAGTGTTGACTGGCGTCATTACCTGCAGTAATAGTAAGTTCAGACGTTTACTTCAACTCTCTATAATTATTCAATTTCATTATATTCAATTTCATGTGTGGCCTGCTGGTGTCGAAAAGTTCCCGACACTTCACACATAGCTTATACTTCCCAACACCTAATAGGTCAGAGGATGGAACGGCTCCATTGGGCGGATGTAATCCCATTGGTCACTATTTCTAGACCCCGCCTTATTTCTCACAGACATCTGCATTGACATTGGCCGATGTATCTGATCGTCATCGTGCGTACACAGTGGGTGTCAGCGGGGATTTTTCCGGTTCGCGTCTGATTGGCCAGTTGTGGGTGCTGACGTCACGGCCCTGCCAGCTGATCGGAGTGAGAAGCCGGTTTGAAGAGAAGAGTTGGAGCGGAGAGAGAGACCGGGGAGGGAGCCCCGAGGAGCAGCGAGCAGCGAGCAGCACGGGCGGGGGTGGGGGGAGACCGGCCAACCGGATACTCAGATTGGATCGTTTTTACATTTCTTTTTTCTTTTTTGTAGAGGTTTAAACGTTGACACGGGAGACACACAAAGCGACAGTCTTGTCAGGGTGAACTTGTGGGCTTCGCGTCTCGTCGAAACCTCTGGAGCTGTCAGAAAAAAAATTGATTGAGAGTTAAGGTGTGGCTGAGGGTTTCTGTAAGGCTTCTGCACTGAAAAATGTCAAAAAAACGATTGTTTCTACTCGGGAGTGGCCACTCAGTGCTGAGCCGCTTATTATGTACCAATGGCTTTAAATATTCAGTCATTTTCATCAGGGAAGCTATTACATAACAAATGTATTGCCATCTTAATGTGCGCACCTTTTTGGCTTATCCCTAGCAATAGCCTAGATTAATTTGACTATTACGCAGTTAAGAAGTGGGTCGAGTATTTCTTCCTTTTTTTTACTGCTTGGCAGATCGTTTTGGTTTCATAATTCTGTGAAATGTAACGGACGTGGCAACTTTACAGTAGCCAGCCCTGCTGAATGCCACAGGCAAACTGGGCGTGGGGGAAACAGTCCGAACAGAGCCTAATAATCCTCAAATCTCATCCAAGTGCGGCACAAATTGCGCATATTTGAGATAGTATTGCCATACTGACAAGTGCCTCGGCGGAGCCAGTGGATTTACCTGAACCAAAGTAAGTGCGACTGTCAAATACATTTAGCAAACTTTTTTTCAGCGGAGGTGACATTTGAAGGCCACAAGAGAGGACGTGCTGTGGTGTTATCTCAAAGGCATTTTTATCATGTTTCATATTTTTATTAAGATGCAGTGTCACTCTAAACAGAAGAAAAGGAATAATTTGGTACTGAAGGTGGTGTGTCGGTCGGCTGAGGCCTATATAAAATCTTTATGTTCTGTAGTTACAGTGCGAAGAAAAGAGAATAGGACTGGCGGGTGTGTCTTTTCCCAAAGCAAACGTTTGGGCGTTGAATGAATCTAAATCCGGTAGGGAAGGAGCGGAATATAAGAGTTGGGTCTTTATTACAGTAGTCTGCTGCGACTTGTTAAAGAATATCGTGGAGTCATTCCTCACTCTTGCGATGCGTTGATACCACAATAACTCATAATTGAGTGCACGGCCAGTCTGACCCTGTATAGTCTAATTAAGATAAGCTTTAAGTCAAGAGGAAAGCACATAGAGTGAATTCCTCAAGGCCCCACCCTTTGTAGCGCAACATGGATGTGGAGAGTTGCCCCCACCTCTTCTTCGTCCTCCTCCTCCTCCTCCTCCTCTCTCTCTCTCTCTCTCTCTCTCTCTCTCTCTCTCTCTCTCTCTCTCTCTCTCTCTCTCTCCCCCTCGCGTCATTCATTTCCCATTTCAAGCTTGTCTTCTGCTGTTTTTCCCCCTCAGTATCCCCAGGTGCCGACAGTAGATCTTCCTTTCTTTAAACCAACTTTCGACCATGGCATCAGGATCTACTTCCAGGAATCTACAGAGGTTATAAATTGGCGGAGGTAAGTCAAGGGTGGATTTGAGTCAACTTTTGGAATGTGTACAACTCAGTTGTAACAGTATGAATCAAACCTTATTTGTCTACTTCACCAATGACAATGAAGTCATGTATAGATATTTGTGCATATAGTAGTTTTTATAGCTTAAAGTTGTTGTGTTTTTCCTTTGCCTGTTTTGCTTTTCATTGCTTGCCTTTTTTTACTGGCACCCTGGTTATTGCTCTGTGGTCATCAACCTGTTGCAAGTTCAGACAGCTTATGTACTCTGCCCCCCATTTTCTTTGAATTCTATTGACAGGGATTATGTAATTTTATAGGCTGTGTTAAGGACACTCAAACCTTTACATATGTAATCTCAGTTTAAATATATCAACTTTAAGGAAGGCAATATGTTAAAATATGATAATTTATCAAAGTTCAGGTTTCAAAGCTCAAAGTCTTTGGTAGAAAACCACCTTGAGTCTGGATGTAACTCAATAAGGCTGCGAACTGCAACTCCCCTACTTCACATTCTGTTTAGCAACCAGTGGCTTTTTCCACCTGTGTCCCATCTATGTCTGCCAAATGACGGCTCAGACCTTGTCGTAACTTTGCAAGGCATAATATCTCCTCATGGATAACATGACCTTGTAAAAATCACGGTCATTTCTGTTGCCAAGGCATTTGCCCCCCCCGCCCCCCCAACCTCCCAGATTGAAGTTCTGAGGGATTCGTAAGGCTCCCATTGCTACAAAGGGCCTACCCAGTACTGACAAGGTTACTTGTTTAAGTTGCAAACGTAATAATGTAATTTTTTCCCTCTGTTCCTCCTCCAAATTTACATAATATATCAAAGAAAATGCATTTTTAAGGCTGGAGATGCTCTGAAAAAGCTTATTAGTTGCACAGGGTTTAGTTCGGCTTCCCCCACTGCCTAGCCTTTCCTCAATTATCCCCTCTTTTGGTACGAATGGTGAATTATACATGCTGCAGGCCGGTCAGAGTACTGGCCACTGGACACATCTGGCTGTTAATAAGTTTAAATTTAGGAGAATTAACCTCTGCAGTAATAATGTGGGAGTTCCAGCACACCCGTCATGTCCCACCCACCCCCATGCAAGAAGTGCTGTGTTGGGACAATTTTCACATATAGGAGTGTGATAAAGTATTTACAAGACCTCACTGACTTTGGTTACAATTATGCATTGTGAGTGTTGAAAAGAAAAAAAGAGGATGTGAAACAGTTGTTGATGTTACATAGTGAACTTAGAAAGATTTTAACTGCATGAAATGTGCTGCAGGTTATAAATGCATGCCAGTGGCAGGTTTTTTGAGTAAAAATGGATCCGAATCTGCATCCTCAGTAGCTGCATTCATGCAACCCAAGAGTAATTACTGTTCATCTGTAAAGAATTTAATGACTTTATGAATCCTCAGTTAAATTGCTGTACAGATGACATCATTATTCGCCTCTTGCAGTAGTATAGTGTACCACTCTACCATTAAGAAGTTACTCCCTTATGGGCTCTTTTCCACTCTCTTTCTCTCCTTTTCTCCATTTGTCATCTTGTTAGAGTGTTTGCTTTGTCTGGGCTTTAATTGTTTAGCCACATTGGATTGACCTATGTACATACGTATGTGTGTTAGTGGTTAGCCGGCACAGTCCTTATCTCTGCGTGGCTATATGTGATTAATACAGCCGCCCAGCAGTGACGTCCATTGCGCCACTCCCCAGACACACACACACACACACACAAACACACAGAAAGGGCACGTATGAGGGGAGAAAGATTGGATTCTGATGTTTGCACCAATAATTTTGTGTCCCTGTGCCCTGTAAAATAGAGTCAAATGCCAAGTCATCTTGTCATCTTGCGTTTCATCTTTGTGTTTTGTGTGTTTGAGTATTTAACATATTTAATGCAAATGTGTGTATTTTTGTGGATGGACAGTTCGGGAAGGGTTTAGCCTGACAGGCCTTTTACTTTCCAAAATAACCATAGAAAGATCTGGAACCGTTTTGCCCCTTCAGAGTTGCTGACATTGATCAGAACCATAGATTTTTTTTTTAAACGTGCCATTTGATGAGTCACTCCTCCTATGCTAACTTATGCTTATGAATGACCAACCCATCAGGTGACTTGGTGTAACTGAGCAGGACTGAACATTGACTGTTATTGATGGCCAATCAAAGCGGGGAGGATCTGCGGTGGAAATGCGGTAGCTGCAGTGAGGTTGCCCATTTTTATGGCCACACCCTGACAGCCTCAGAGGGCAAACTTTGACTAGCTTAGGCAAATATTTTTTACACGCTTTAGCATGACTCCTGCAATTTTTGGTGAATGTAAGAGAAATAAAAGAAAAGTGTTGCATACAGTTGAAAGAGGTTAACGAGTATAAAATTATAAGTGGGTTGAAAGGGTATGTGCCTGGATTAGACAACCAAAGCTCCATGGCAGGTGTTGTCATGCTGTACGTAGGTGTGTGTATGGTCTCGTCTGATGGAGAGACAGATGTGCTCTCTGTCTGTGCTTGCGTCTGCACACATGCACAGGACAAGGATGTGTGGGTGTGTGCAGCATGGCAAGATATAGTAGTATGTGATGCAGCGCTAACAGTATTCCAACTGTGTCCTGAACTACTCTGTAACTGCCTCATACGGAGAGAGATTGTCACCACTCCTCAGCAGGGCTGCGTGTGGTTTACCAGACTAGCCCGTACTCGTATGGACAACGCATGTTGCACAGTCAGTGTGTGCCTGCCCACTGGAAAGGATCTTTCTCGCAGCAAAAGTGTACAACTAACAACAAAAGAACAGTTGTATCTGCTAATTACAAACGTAATGAGTTTATTAGAGTAATCCTGGCCTATTTTGTCTGCAGCTCGGCCTCAGATTCATGCCTGTATAGGGCACCTAGTAAGTTTTCCACATGGAGCTGCCAGACTGCAAAGTATTCGAGCCATGGGATGATTCACTCGTGGTGTGTGTGTGTGTGTGTGTGTGTGTGTGTGAACATTGTGATCTCCTGAATAGATAGTATCCATGTTTAGTTTTTTCACACTTTACTGTAGGGTGATCTACTTAAAAAGCAGGGATAGAGCCAGATAGTAGCCTGGGGGAACATATGTACAGAGAACAGCTACAGCAGTCTGTATGTGCATGGAAAGAGAGCTAAATTTAACGTCATTGTAGGCTCAGGTTGGACCTTTTAGTTCTGAGTTTGGGAGGCTTAAAAAGATCTAGCCTCACGCAGGCACAGGCTGAGCTAAACTAAAGCTGTGTGAAGATTATTTTAGGCTGGAGCAATGCCGTAGCACGCTCAGCTTTGGGCTGGTTTCTGCAGAGCCAGCGGTGAGGAGCGGTGGGCCTCTCGGCAGACTGGCTGGAATGTGGACCATATGTAGCAGGCATCCCAGGAATGTAACTTGGCCTTGCTGAACTGACCAACCTAAAGACATAGAGAGTGCAGAGCAGGATAAGGAAGAGAGAAAGGTGATAAAATGGAGGTAGAGCAAGGAAGAGTATGTCAAAGGACAAAATAGATCCCAGAAGTGAAAAAGGAGATGGAGGAAAATTAAAGGAAGGCAGGAGAAGAAGATAAAGATGAGTTTAAGAATGATGGGAAGGTGGAAAGGTGGAGTGATAGAAATAGGCAATGGATGGGCTAAAAGGAGAAAGTAGTAAAGACAGGAATACACATACTTCAGAAACTCATATACAAATAACTTAATAGGTTGAAGTTTACATGACCAAGTCGTCTTCATCCAGAAGCTGCAGATGGAAAGATGAGTGGTGAGTAGAAGATGGCTTCTTTAATGTGGACTACGCTGGTGCTGTCTACATTTGTGTTGCACCGTCTTGTACTGTTGTTATGATGTCTTTACGTATGCAGCATACTGATAAGGAATGAGCTTCAGTCGAATGACAGGGGAATTCATCTGCAACAATTCTGATAATCGAGTTTTTGTTTTAGTTATTTAATTGTGGAAAAAAGTGAAATTTGCTGGTTTCTGCTTTTTAACTGAGGGGGTTTTCTGCTTTTCTCTGTTTTATATAATTTTAAATGTAATTACTTTGAGTTTTGGACTGTTTGTCGTGTTTAAAAAAAGAACTGGTGACTTCTTATATTTCTTTCCATGCTTTCATAAATTAAATAGGCTTAATACCAGCGGATGCGATTGTTAGATTTTGTGACTACATTATTTTTTTTTATATTACTTGTAATGCATATCAACTAAAGAAAGAAACAAAGGGATGATATGAGGAGGACTTGGTCAGAGAACCAGGGAGCTTAACTTGAAAGCCACATTTGTTTAATGTGTGGACACGTCAGGACATGAGTAACTTAAAGTAAAGACCGTTAGTTGGTTTTACTTGAGTAAATGTGTCAGTAATAATCTCAATCAAGACATGTGGTAATTAGCACAGGATTTATTTAATAATTTAAACTATTGGATACTAACGTCATGTCGTATCTAATGTATTCACTAAATACTTGTACAATGTAATAGAGGATATTTGATAAGGCATGACTTCTGCGGATTAAATGTGGACCTGTATTATTATGTGTGTCAGACCACAGTGTTCTTCCAGCTCACTAACTCAGGGTGAAGGTCTGTCTCATCTCTGTTAGCTTAGCACACTGTGCTCTCAGGCCATCTGGGTACAGCTGGGGCCAGAACGGCAGGAAACACACTCACTCACAGATACACACACTTACACAAACACTCTTTTTTTGTCTAACATACCCTGGCGATGCCCCCTACACACATTCACACATACACAGCCTGTTCAGTTGAGTGTGATGGCAGTTGACCTCCACTTGCCATGGTTTTTCATTGACCAACCAAACTGTCATCAGCTCATCAATTTATTTTCTGTCAGTGTAATAGATGAGAAGTTCTTAATCCTTTTCAATCTAATTAGAAATTTAGCTCATAAAACCAGGAACCAATAAACCAAATTACAGCCTCTTTGTTGGGCGGGGACCCGGCCACATTAGCGTAGTAACCCTTGATGGGTG